CCATTATCTGTAGCCCTTGGCTACTCTGGAGTAAGATGGTCAGTGAGCTAAAGTCTGAGTGTGGTGGCATTCCCAAGGCCATCTCGGGTTCGGGACACGATGGATAGCAGTTCACTGCCATGACTTGTGACCCTTCTTCGATTTCTTCTTGTAAGTAATTTTTCTCCAGTCCTAGACTCTCTGAGATAGCTTCGATTAAGTGCTTATGTAGCACATGCGTTGCCTCTGCGTATTTTCCTACGTTTTCCCTGAACAAGAAAACATCAGTTCTGAGTACCAATGTTTTGATATGTATCGCTTACCAACTTATTTATTTTCAGATTGTGAAGTTGGCTTTGATAGGTTTACTTACTTGTAGCATGGAGGGTTTGATGGCCACAAATCGATCCACTTTGAGAGAGGATGAGAGTAATGTTTGATGAAATCTCTCCAGTAATGAACTTTGTCTGTTGAATGGTTTATGCTTGTGCCATACCTTACAGGCTCATGAAAACTATCAGAAACCAGAAGCATCTTCTCATTGGTAGGTAAGTCAAAGAACCTTGTAGCTGCATCTAGCGCATCTTTCACCACTGATGATGATATTCCATGGTTTATAATCTGTAGAGAGAAGCAAGTTTGGATCAGAGTTTAGATACATAGTGTAGGGAGCTTTAATGAAACAGGACATTTTCATAATGAATAAGGATAAGCATCTTCACATCGCTAGTTGTTGCATTCTCAATAAAGACAGAAACTAAGGACTTTGTCTTTTTTCATTTATATTTTTTGATAAGCGACTGTGAAATATAGATACATGAATAAGAGTAGGACACTTACATTACTTGTCATGTGTCCTACCTAACCAAAACATGTGAAGTGTATGTAGCTTAAAAAAACACGAGTATTACATTACCTGAAAGAAACCAAATCCCTTGCAGGCCATTCCAATCTCATGGATGACACGGGGTCTAAGCAAAGGATCGTGTAAGTGAAAGAGATCGATGACAGGAAGATTGATGGTATCGGTGCCAATACTTGGACTGAGCATTGGTCGTTCTGAAGGCGGAAGAATGTAGCGAGGAGGCACGCGAGGGACACCTGAATCGGTAAGTGCCATAGCACTGGTAAAGTAATCATCACTAGTTTCCTCCATTGGTTTTGCAAGAATCTGTTTTGGTACTTTGAGATTCTGTATGTCCTTAACTTATAGTGAGGAGCAAACATGCAAAGCTCGTTTTTTATATATATATATATACTCATGAAGATAACCTGGTTTTAAAAAAAAATAAAGTAGACATTTCGTCTTTTTTTTTCTCTTTGAATACGGTTTTTGGAAACTACCTGTTTTGTGTTCATATACATAAACATTAAATGAATGGTTGAGATATTTCGTTCAAATAAAGAATTCCCATTTGCATTTTTTAGAGAGGCTTGAAATGTATCTGTGAAAGGTGTATTGACTAGTTGCATGTTTTGCTTTTTTGGGATTTAGCTATAATATTAAAATGTGAAAATAGTCATCATGGTAACGGATTCTCTCCTTTTTCTCATAAGAAAATTTCTGCATAGGCGTCATCAAAAAGGATAAGTGAGTAGATGGCTTATCTTGCATTTGGCTCAAAAATCATATAGAAAAAGTGGTGATTTGTTTTTTTTGTGCCTTAAGGGGACAAAGAAGATAGAGAGAGAAAGTGGTGAGATTCAATGGAAAGGTAACAAGTTGAGAGAAAGATCCAAATTTGGTTGGCTCCATAATCCAATCTTCAACTTCATTCCCCAAAGTTCTTATGTCTAAACAGTATTGTATATATATCTCTTGACACTTGTTACCAGCTTAACTTTGTACCTTGACTTTGACTTATGTCGGTATTGGGTCCACCGAATATTGGCCCAACTTGATTTTAATGGGTTTGGGCTAAACCTTAGATACTCGTTGGCGTCAAATTTGAAACTCGTTGTTGGTAAAGGAGTATTTATTAAAAGAAACCAAAAAAGCAAAGTAAATTTTGAGAGAACTACAAATTCTATCCGAAGTTACAAACTTAAAACAATGGATAATTGGATATATAACTAACTGAAATAAGTTTACGAGTGTAAATTCTAATAGAAATTTTAAAAGCTTAAAAAGTAGTGTATTTTTAGAATGGAATAGCATTCTTCGAATCATTTTAATAAGTGTGGAATATGTCAACAATATACAATTTCTCTGGCAGATTTAGGTTTCACACGTTTTTAACTATAAAACAACCGTACTTTGGAGATTAATGGTGAGAGAAATGATTGGTTCTTTCTTAAAAATAATTAGGAGA